TTTTTTTTTATTTAAACGACAATCATTAACAAATCGTTTTCTTTTTTTTTAATTTAATTGCTTTCTCGGCGTTATTACAACTGTAAAGGTAAATAATTATAGTAATATTTTTAATAAAACAGCAATCGTGTACTTACTGATTAAAATAGCGCCGGTAATAATAATTAAAAATGCGGCGCTTTCCGTTAAATCATTAGTAATTTATTAAAATAATTTTTTAGCCAGCTCATTTTGTTTGGTTTATTATTATCAATTTTTTTTTTTTTTTACTATAATAACTGCAACTTCAGTATATTTATCGTTGTTTGCTGTGATTTATACAACAAATAAAAACTACAACGCGTAAGAATAATAATTTTTATACGTACACTATTTGTTTTGTTATCATAATTTGAAATAATAAACAATATTATAATGACTTTGTAACTACTTTTTAACAATCGCTTTATTGCAATAAAAAAAAATAGAATTCTATAGCAGTTTTTTTTTTGTCCGCCCAACTGCCGTTTTAATAAAGAACTTTATCTGCGCAAAACTGTCTCATAAATATTAAAGTATGTAAAATATTATCAACAGACAACAATACAATTGCATTGGTCCGTGGATAGCACAACGTTAATAGTATTGTTATTTTTATTATTGTTGCACTTTTTGTATACGACTATATAAATTCCAACAAACTCTAAAACGCTTGTTGGCCATGGATACTACAATATTTTAATTTTTTATTCTAACTTCATCGAGCCTCCTAACCTTCTAACCTCAGTAGATTTGCATTAAAATATAAAATAGTTGTAGACATTACATTTCGGTATCATTTGAAGTTCACGCATGCTGAACTTAATGCTATTTGGAAGCACAAGCAAAAAGCATTCGATCTTTAGGCAATTATTATTACATTGCAGATCACCGATTATGAGACGGCCGTGTTGAGTTCAACAGATATCGACAAGTTAGGATAATTATTAAATTTATGAATGGTCGAGGCATAACCAAATATTATTATTATTGTTAAATGTTCAAACAAGTAAAAATACCGTTACATAGAAAACACACTAACCCCATTTAAACAGACAAACCTTACCGTTGAATTATTAATATTAGATGGTTCGAATCCGTTACAACAAATCATTGAAATTTAAAACGTCATAAGTCAATAATTTTTTGTTTGCATAAAATAAAAAAAATTCTTAAATTGTACAAGCTTGATAACTTGCTAAAAAAAAAAATTATCATAAGAAGTAATTTCAAGTGTCATATTTTAGCTTCAAGAATCTTTCCGCAAATCTAAATTAAAAAAATTAGTCGATGGGTAAAAGTGAAATAAAAAAAGTATTTAAAAAATTACCTAAATTATGCCTAACTTTGTCTGTGACGACCAACTTTCCGAAAAACGACAAAAAATTCAAAAGCCTATTCTAACACGCTTAACCTTTGAACTGGGCATCAGAAATTTTTAAGGATTTATTATTATAATATATTATTACTATCGGTTGAAAGGGTAAGCAAAACAGAAGAAAAAAACAGTCTTGTGTACATTTATATTTTTACTCTTCGGCCCTTTTGCATGACCGCCATTCGTCGTTACTTCCGGTTGTATAATAAACGAGTTAACACAAAATACTTATTGTTATTATAATTTTTTTCTTTAATAACATCTTTAAAATGGCTGAAGTGAGGCGAGTCGAGTGAATACAAATAACAATATACCGAATCGTGCTTTAAGGGGGAAAACAAAGGCTCTGCTATTACGGTGTATTTATTTAAGTGCGCCAAATCCGCTCTCAGCAGCTTCCTTGGTATAATAGTAGTCCAAGAGAAGAGATTCGTCCGTTCGGCCCAACAGTTTGTCTACGGTACTTTTCATACATTTAACAAAACGCACACGTCCTATGCAGACTGTGTAATCCCGGCCGTTTTCTAATAGAACAATAAGTGCAACTACAAAAAAAAAAAAGAACTCCATCCCCCTAAACCCTTTAATACTCAAATGACACGGTATCGGCTTAAGTACGTTTGTTCGGATTTTATAATCTGAAGACGCTTTAAACAATATTCGGGACACCGAAAATAGTAATTGAAAAACAGGTGTGTCGTGTGCTTTTCTTGTAACAATATTGAACACGGCGTGTTGTCGTGTCCACAAAGTTTCGGTTCACAGCTTCGTACTTAAGTTGGTGACGACGTAATCGCAATACATAAAACAGAAACTCTGGTCGGATGAAGAAATTGTCGGGTAAGATAATAGTGATCCACAAACAATGTTTACAACGAGCCGTTTCAATGAGCCGTCTTCGACATTAGGTTGGCACCACGGCCATATAGTGAGTGATGTTGGTTTAGTCACAGCCTACGAGTCTGCATGATCAATTATAACTGACAACCATAATAACCGTGATCGACATTATAATAATACAAATATTATTCACATGCCTGTTTCTATATTTTTGTTTTTTCTCAAAAACAGTAAAACTAAATCAAACGACTTCGTAGAAGTTTCCATCCCGAGGGAAAACGGTTTTAGAAATTGTTTTTGGTTTGTCGACGGTCATCGATAGTACTATATACTTCCATAACATCCCACATAAGTTCCAAAGTGACCGGACTATTTTTCAAAACGTTATAAATTGCCCTAATGTTGACAAATGTAATTTATAGGACGTTTTTGTCGATTTCGAAGGGGAAGGATACATTTGTTCCATTTATGGCCGTGTAAAATATATTTTTCGGGTAGGAATTTTGATTTATGACTTGTTGATGTCATCCAAGAACATTTTATCTGCATAACTCATAGTCGAACAGATGAATTTTAAAAACCGTTTAACTATAACACTCGTAGCCTTTATCTATCCGATTTTGTTATGCTTTTTAAACACTGAAGTCAACTACTAATCTTTACTTAATTTACAGTGCCGAAGGAAGGACCGGGTGAGAATAATACATACCAGGAGCTACACCCTTATTAGGATCCCACGCCATCTTGGAATTATTGACTCGTTTTTTAACAAAGGCTAACGGCACTGGAATAGGAAACGATTGTATATGTCATTGCCTTCTAAGGGAACAAACAGTTTTGATAAATATCATAACAAACAACTTGCTTTTTAATTTTTATACTAGAAAAGTAGTTGAATTTATTAGAAAAAGTGATAAAGTAGAAAGCCGGCCTTACAGTCCGCATAGAAGCGACGTTTAAACGGTATAAGAAAAATAAACTAATGTTTTAAATCGGTTTGGTAGACACCTCGGAAAGTGATATATCGCGTTTTAGTCTTAATTCGGCTGTTCCGCCCCCTTAAGCCAATCTGAACTTAGACGATGTGAAAAATTACCTATACTTTACTACGCTTTTATAAATTGGTGGCGTTAAGTTTTGTTGACGGATCGTTGGACCGACTTGACCCCTGAAATCCAAAAACAATATTATAATGTAATTCGGATGTAAAGCTCTGCTGTAGTTTAAACCACGTGGCACAGACTTCCGAATTGAACCATCGAAAACGTCGCCTTCTTTTTTCTTTTGTTTTTTAAAAATAAATTTGATTTACCCTTACCCCAGGGCTAGCCCTTTCGATCGGAGTCGTGACGAAAAATAATAAACTGAGATTATCGCCCGTGGCCTCGTGGTCTAATATTAAAAAAAATGCCCGTAATAACCAAACAACATTATGTGGCCTTTGGCTGACAATGTTTTTGGATTCGATCGGCCCAAAATTGTAAAATAAAGGTCAAGATCGATTTTTTTTTTATCACAAATTTGTATATTTACATTTTAGACTCTTGTATCAATATAATAATAACAACCATCAAGTGTATTTGCCTCTGTTGGGTTTAAATAACTTTTAGGGTCCCGTGGAGTTTAATGTATCAATGTATGTATTTAATGTATGTATAATATTATATAATATATACATATTAGTTTAGTGTATGACTAAAATAGATTAACGATTAGTGATCATAACTTGTTGTGCTTCAATTCACGGTAAACGAATGTAATTTTTTTTTTTTAGGAAACAAGTATTTCAATCATTTAAAAAAGCTTTTTAAGAGCTATAATATGGTTATTTTAAAATATTAAAAACTTCATACTTCTACTTTTCAAGTAATTATTGAAAGCTGGTAATCGACCAGTCAAAAATCTCAATAAATTACCCTTAATTTAAAAAGTTAACTAATATACATATACGTACGCTTAAGTTTTTAAAAGTAAATAGTGATCTGGAAAATATCAAAAAAGATAAATATTCGATAATATTATAATATTGCAGATCATGTAATATAAAAGCATATGTATTATTAGTATTTCAATGAAATTTCTGCTGTAATGGCATGACACATAAATGTGTATGGACATTTTACAGGGTTTTCCCTTCTATTATTTATTTTACTTTTTTAATGCTTATGATAACGATCTCGTCGGCTTAATACAGTAATTTCATAATAAAAACTGATAGTGGAAAATTTGCCGCAAGAAAAAAAAACCAAAAGTAAGAGTGACCTTTGTTTTTCACGAGAGAATTTTCACGGTCTGGTTAATTTTTATTATCATCGCAAAGACATTGCATTTTATTTGTCTTCGCCTTTTCAAAACCCAGTAGCCCGTACAATTAATATAGATGTTCGCATTGTCCGGTGGACGTTAACACCGATAACCAGACACAATAAAACGTTTTGGGTTAGGTAATACTAGACAAGCAGTGATAACGTGTAATAGCATACCAGCAGATTGGTGTAAATTGAAAATCAGATTGATGACAACATCCTGTACGCGCAAATACGGTAATTATTATTTTGAATTGTTTAGTTATTAATTATTTCGTCCGGGTAGAAAAAAAACCGTTTTGGACCACTGTGGCGACGGTGTGGTGGCGGGCTAATCGCGGCAACGGTATAGCGGTTTGCGCAAGTATGGAAAACGACCAACGCGACTCGTACCGGCGCGAGGACCGTCAACAAAAATGTGTTCAAATGTCGTTCGGACCACTCGGGTGCGAGTTGTCGAGTTGGTGGTTTCGTGTAAACCGACAGGACACGTGTTTGGCAACAACGGAGAAATTAAAGAAAAAAAATTGTTAAAAAAATTTGACGGCAAAGTGCGGTAAAGTGTGTTAACATTATAATAACACCGTTTTGGCCGACGTTCAAAAACCGGTGCGGAAGCCGATGTTCATATGATGACGTGATGGCGACCGACACCATGGTAAGCCACCACAAAATATAAACAATTATAAACTGTAGAATAAGACGTCGAAAGTTAGAATAAAAAAAAAAAAAGGCCAATTCACTGGTAAAGTCCCTCGGTAATATTGTCATTTCCGAAAGTGATGCGAATCTGTAGACGGTAGACAAAGATGAACCGATAAAGAATAAATATTGCACTGGCCGTTGTAATGTGCTCGAAATTTGTTTTCTAAATATTTAGGAAAAATTTTTCGTGTATAATAATAATTTGTCACCGTTACTGGCCGTACTTGCGGATTGCATGCGGTCCGTTTTCAATAAGTTTCGTGCAGGCAGTATTTAAAAAAAAAAAAAAAGTTTTAATATATTTTCGACCATGTCAATAAATTTACCGGTTAATTTGTATAAGCTTCGAGGAATTATTTTTAATTTAAATCATTTTTTTCCACGAGTAGAATCTACATAGGATGGTTCAGTTTCAATTCTGTAAAAAGATTCGAGTGCTTTGGCTACTTATTATGTTATGTAGGAAGCCGATTTTCATTTTTAAATTTCAGTGTCTTGTAATTAAATCAATTAAATATGCAATTTTTTCAATATTTAAACCCAATTTGTTTACATAAAAAAAGGAAAGAATCAAAAATCTTATTTCCTACATAACCTACTAAAGTTGGAATAAAGTCATACTTTATGACCCGGTTGCGAATACATTCAATGTTTATAAAGTGATTTAAGTTTAAAAAATTAACAGAACTCTGGAAAAAAATAAATTTCTAAATATCGCCTAGTATTGTAAACACCTAAAGTGTTTCAAAATAGAAAAAACTACAAAATTGTAATTATTTTAAGACAAAATAAATGTCTTATCCTTAATGAACCACTCTGTACATAAGTACAAAAACCTTTTACAGATTTCGCAATCATCATGTTTTAATCGTACCAATAATTTACTTGCTCTGGATATTAATTATATAAATACAGCTCTGATTCAGTGTTATCCCAAAAACTGGGTTACCGTTTTACTTGTAATGAAATATTGCTTTCGTCGCTTAATTGAAGATAATAATATTTTGATATTGTAGAATTTTGTAGAATTTTGTTACAATGACTTTTCCGCTGTCTTCTTGATTTTCTTATAATAAAACTGTCACGTCGAAATTAGAAAGATTCTCACCTTCACGACGTTTATTAAAAAAGCACAAACGAGAGTAAATTGCGTTTCATTTAAGTGTTTATAAATGGAACTTAACCGTTTGACTTGATCGCTGAAAGTCTTCCAATAGAAAACAATTTAAATCCAAAACCGTTTCGACCTTGAATTTAGTTTCTTACTAAAAAAAAAACCGTTGTCTGTCGCAACCCCTGAGGTGGGAGTTGTTGAGTCTGAATGGAAAACCGTTAGTTACCCGTTCAGGTTAGGTATGTTGGTACAAAAACCTAGCAATATATTATGCAATATTTACTTAACACAAAGAACAGCTAACAACGCAAACGTACAGTACCGACACAATATGAACATCTCTTGGCCTAGTGTTTTTTTAAATAATTTAAAAATTGGATTTTTAATTGAAAAATAATTTTTTTTTTAATATTGTCGATTACTATTAAAAACGGACAACACATTTATTTCCTAACCAATATGATTTGTTATTTTAGCCGTTTCTCTCGTATTGCGGTTTCTACGAATGGAGTTTCATTCTGGTTTTTCGGTACCTTTTAAATTTCATTAATTTAGTGGCGTTAGCCATGTCATGCCGTTCATATTGTTTACCGTGACTTTCTTACAGCTCTGCGTCTGATTTCTCTGGTGTGGTTCTGGTTAATCGGTAGTGGTGTGCCAAAAGCAGTGTAGTTAATTAACAAAAAAAAATAAATAAATAAACAATGGGAATCCAATCCAGTGAGAAAGGCGGATTGAGCGAAAAGAGTTGTTATACACAGTCGCCGATTCTACTCTCGGTCACTGGCGATTTCTAATTCCGGCTAAACGACTTATGTTTAGAGAACGAAGCAACAACACACTCTCTCTACTTCGTCAAGGGCCATAGTGTTAGCCCAAAGCTGTGTAAGACCAACATTCTAAATCTCAAGACACCCCCTCCCCTCCCCAGTATTGTGTAGAGCAAATACACCAAAGTTGGCAGTGCAAAAAGAAGAAGAAGAAGATGAAATACCTTTTGTTATATTATATTCCAAAATTCCATTACAACAGAAGCGAACTTTTGGTGCAGCAAGTGGAATTTAGGCTACCTGTTGTTTTTTAAACAGTCATAGTTTTATGGTCTTAACGTTGGAATCGTGCAGTGCTCTAAATAAAACCAATAAACTTAGTACGTGCCGAATAGCAGATTACACTTAACTGTTATGGGCTGGCTCAGCCTAAAGTAATCGTAAAATGTAATTTTCAAACGGGTCTGATGCGTCGGTTAAACATGCAGCCATGTCTTCAATTATACAACATATTTATCCGAGCGACTCAGAAGAGTTTAAAAAAAATATTATCATACTATGAAATTCTCGGTTCATTATAATATATGTAAATATATATATATATATATAATTCGCTTTATTATATAATATTTGTGTACATTTTTTTATTTTTTAACACACGGGATACAAATAGTTTTGTGGTAAGGTGATGGGATGTATTGAACATGTTTGAAATTACATACATTTTTTATTTATAATAGTTTTAAGTTCTTATTGCTTTTTCCTCGGTGCATTCCTACCGGATTGGTCAGACCATGACTTGCTACGTTATGGCGATTTGTCAAAAAATATCATCCATACCAAAAAAAAAAAAAAATTGTAAGTATTTTAAAATAAATAAACTTGGCTGGTACATTCTATTTTATTTCATATTTTCGTTCAATCTGGTCCCTGGCGTCATTATTTCGCTTAAATAAATATTTAAACATTTTTATAAAAATTAAAGCAAAGCCTTGTCCTTAAATTTTACACATAGGAATTTATTCAACTTATATAACTTATTTATTCAATTTATATAACAATAGAAGGTTAGTTGTAACCACATTCCATATTATTCAATTGAACTGTTGAGCAAATTCCGTAACGTTCCATCGGTGTAGGTCCGCAAATGACTAAATTTTATTTCTCTTAAATATATGTAATTTCACGCTTAGAATAGAATATTTTTAACCATTTATTGATATTATAAGCAGGGTGAATCTCACTTTGATTTTATACAAGAAATGTACTTATTGTTAAATACTTGTGAGGATTAAAATTTTCCTAATGTTTGTATAAAACACTCATCGTTTTCTATCCTCTTTTTACTCTGTAAAAATTTTTTTTAAAAAAAAGTTAAGGAGGCATATATGAATATATGTATATAAGTTTTTTTTAATTAATTCAAGTCATGGCGGTCGAGTATAGTTTATTTTTAGATACTAGTTTGATCAATTTTTGCAATCAAATTGTATGAATCGATTGGATTAGAATTTACTTATTTTTTGCAACACAGCTGGACGTTTGTCAATGGATGTTTGTTATGAACTGCTAAACCCAACAAACGAATTAAGTGTTCTCAAAAGTTTTGACATTTTCTTCATAATACTGTCGTATAAAAGTTCTATCTTAAATTTACTCTTAAAATTTATTCTTAAATGTACTAACCTGTAAATATTCCACGTTTTTTTCTGTTCAGGTGGCACTGCTGAGAGCCTTCCTATTCATACATTATTGTCACTGTATCTTTGTCATCAGACTTGCTAATTATACATATTTTGTATAGATTGTAAATAAAGAAAATATTTTAATAAAAACAGTTTTGTATGAGATGAATTATTTGTATAATATCCATTTTTCTCTACGCGATTGTCACGAATTTTGGCAATAAAAACTAAATCGTTTTACAGAAATACACAAAGAAACGTCGCATATTAATTTAAAGAGGCATTTTAAGGTGTACAATATTTTGAATGTTTCAGAAGTAAAAAAAAAAATATATATATATAGATATATATAATACATCAAGTGTCAACTATATCTAGCCGTTATTGAATTTTATTAAGCAATACAACTATGGTATTTTTTCTGACGTTTTTCTGACAAGCTAATGTTTTCGAAGAAAACGGCAACCCTTGTACCAAACTACTTAAGAAATGCAAAAAAAAAAAATGAAATTATCTCAAACGCGAGATATGAAATGAAATTGAAACTAAATAAAGCACGCAACCGCTTGACACGTTCAAACCGTCGAATTCTAGAAATGAACAACCAATAGAAAAAATATACATAAATGTAAATGCAATAATATTACATGTCAGGTAATAAATGTCTACACAGAGTTTCCTTTTTAATTTACATTTTTATATTATAAGGGAAATCGGGTTTATTCTTTTTAGATTACACCAAAGCGTTTCGCCGACGACTATGAGCGGATTTTATTTCATTGCTTTTACATTTTCCTATCTTTGTAAGCTTATATTGTTTTTTTCTTCTTTATAAATAACAGCTTATATTATTGACACAAAACTGATTTTCACAAACTGATTGTGTACAGAAACGACTCCTTCGCAAAATCGCCGTACAATTTTATTACCCGTCAACGTTTAATATTCGATGTATTTTTTAATGATAATACTATAAACTGATTATAATATAGTACGTATTAAACTGATATATATATTATATTTTTTTGGGGGGGGGGGGAGGAACGAATAAAATTACAAACGTTTGGAAAAGTGCTATCACGTGACTTTAGTGTTTGTTTGCCTTTTGTATTACTTATAGCTGTTATTTGCTTGGTTTTCATAATACGTTTCAGTGGGTGATTCGAATAAAAGGAGAATGGCAAAAGTTTCCAGACATAATTCAACTAATTAATAACTAGATATAAACGGTAATCTAAAGTCTTAACAAATATTTTAGTTTACACTACTTAAATATGAATTGTCTTTTTCGTTGTAGTGAGATTTATGGAGGTGCTTCTGAAATCGGTGTACAAACAAAATATGTAAATCGTATACATAAAATAGATTTTACAATTTTATGATT